TCACCCTCTCCACTTCGAGCCCCCGGATGAACAGTGGCTGATGAGTTCTCCTCTCCTTCCTCATGTCCACTATCATCTCCTTCGTCTTGTCTATGTTGAGGCTGAGATTATTGTCCTTGCACCAAGACACCAGACCGGCCACCTCCGATAAGGTGAAGCTCAAGGAGGTTCAGTATGCCCTGAAGAGGAGTTTGAGGCTGGTAAAAGTGGATTATAAGAGGAAGGTTGAGGGTAAGATACAGCAGAGTAACTTTGATACTAGGGATCTCCATCAGCATCTGGACCAAATAGACTGAAGTCCAGATGCTGGACTTCAGAAGTGCCTTGCTGGACTGCTACCTTGACACATTGTTAATGGTGCTGCTGTTGCTGCCACTGCTGATGCTGATACTGTTCTGACCACCACCATCACCTGTTTGTATGGCTATAGCTGATCCTTCTCTTCCCCCATGTCCTCCATTGTGTTTTCCTGTTCCAACATTTGTACTTCTTCAGCATGCTGATTGCCTGACAGCCCCCGCACTAGTACCCTCACACACATTATTTCCCTCCCATTCTATACATTCCTCATAAAATTCATTATCACTATTTTAATGTGTTCCCTGTTTGACACCACCTCATATAGTTCTTGGTACATCCTGCTCAGGTTGTTTACCCACTCCCTCAGCATGGCGACATCCGTGTCACTACCTAGCGGTCTTGTTGGCAAATTTATAACTGCCAAATGCTGCCATTCAGCTATGGGTATAGGCACGTTATCATTGTCTTTACTGGGGGGACATGAAGGTGTACTTAGACCTGTAGCCATTCTCAGAGCCAGCCTGAGGTACAAGCATCTGCTTAGGGCCCCCATGAGAGCTTGATGTCCCACAAGAGATTTTGTTTATGCATATGAGCACTGTAATGGCAGAAACTGACACCCGCTGATCTCATCTGACCTCATAAAGAAAAACAAATGGGGAGGCTGACACAGGATCAGTCAGCAACTACAAGATGGGCCACAGAAAAGTAGCCCGTGTACCCTTATTGCCTGTGGCACCGGTATTGTAGGCAGGCTATGTTTCTGTGGCCCACCCTGTATTTTGATAATTGTTTATAGCATTGTTACGGTGTTTCTTACTATTGTCAGAATTTGTACAAACCAGTCAATGAAGTAATGGAGAAAACAGGCTAACCAGCAAATTAATCCATAATGAAAATAATCGTTAGCTGCACCTCAACCAACTCCAGTGGTAACATCCTGCTTTGACAGAAGTGCATGAGCAATAATAATGTAACATTAATAATATTCAAACAGTCCAGGAGATGTGTTTCTACTTCGAATACTCAAAGTCCTTTGGTTTCCTCACTATCATGGAGACACTGCTGAGCTCTGTAAACTCAGAAGTTCTTTAAGGTTCAGTTTGTTGAAATCTGTGACCCAGACTGTTGTAATGGTGGGAGGCAGGTGGCGTTCAGGGTTTCAGAGGCTCCAGGAAACCATCTGTTAATGACTGTGTTATTCTGATAGGTCAGGTTGTCTTCTGTAAAAACATGTTATCGAGGAGAGACAGGGCTGAGTCCTACATACGTATGTGATCACATGGAGGGGTCTTCAGAAGGATGTTAATACTACGAGCTGATGTGGTGCATGAACACAGTACAACACAGGATGAAGACGACTTTGTAGTTTCTATTCAAGGTCAGTGAAGAGAGCACAGGGACTTAGGTCATGTATGTATATGACATATGTACATCTAGACTTTATCTGCATAGAGCTGTAGTTCATCTTAGCAGCCGTTTTGTGTGTTGTTCTCATGTTGATGCTTTTGTGTGAATAACTGTATCACTTTCATATGAGGTGAACAAAGTTAAGACATCACAGAAGAAAATGTAGAATATTAAAATTTATATACAAGAAAAAGAAATGCTAAATGAGCTAAACTGTTATCTGCAGTGCAGACCAGACAACACAGTGAATAAATGTGACACATACTGTAATACCTGGAGGCTACATCGGCTTTCATTTCATCAGGCAGTCCAAGCAAAGAATAACTCAGCTTCATACAATTGTATATTATGAGCAATCATCAAATCAGAAAATACAAAGGGTCATGTTCATTCTGAAGGGACAAATAAAACAAAAACTACAGCTTTGCAGTTGTATTCCTCATGGGAATGGACAGATGTGAGGTCACCTTTGACCACCACTAATCAGCTCATCCTTGAGTCGAAGTGCCAAATTCGAACAAACTGCCTCAAGGTGTTCCTCACATAGCGTTTTCACAAGAATCATATGGACAGACAGACAACCCAAAAACACAATGCCCCTGGCTGTGGCTATGCACAGAGGCATAAAAACAACTGTAAATCCTCAGCGGTATCATAGGTTATTAGTATCATCAGTCACTATTTTAGAGGAAAAGCTAAAGACATTACAGTCATCCTCTCCTGTAATGTGGTATGAGTACAAAACTCCAGCATTCAATTTCTACAGGTGTAAACAGAAAAAGATGTTTTTTAATGAAGTCCAGTAAATTCACAACTTGACACTGATTAATTTACCAACTGCCATCATGAACAAATTATGGAAGTCACTTCTCTGGGAAAAGGCAGACTTGATACAACTGAATTAACTTCAAAATTAAATTATAAAACCACTTATACTCCTGTAAATTATGGCAATGCAACTGTGTGGAGGAACACAGAGTAGGCTATGCGGTATTTCACAGTCCAGGCCACTGGAATATACACTGCTCAGCTCTTATTATTCTACTGCTGTTGCCTCCTGTGCCAGCTTTCAGCTGAGCTTCATTTTAAATGGAGTTATCTGTGAAGGTCATATGGATTCAGTAATGTGGAGGTCCTCAGTTTGTTTCTTCACTGGAAAACCTCCAGGCAAAATGAAGTACTGGGGTGCCCTCTAGAGACAGAGACACACTGCAGCCCTACACCTGTGCTAAGTCTTTCAATGTTGCAAGTCTTTTTCCTGAATAACTCTAAAATTACTTCCAAAAAACCTGCTAAATTAAAGTAAACAGAAACACTGTTTAGACAGCATGAATCATATCGCACGGGAAGTACTTAAACTGGTAAACTATCACTGGAGTAAGCTATTAGCAGAGGTTAGCAAATTAAGGCTAAGACCCCTAAGTGTAAATTTTCTACGTGATTACATCTTTCAAATAATTCTAATGGCATAAAACTTTGTTTGTAGAGTAATATTACCATTCTGATGAAAGCTGGGGCAGCCACTATGCTTACAGTTCATGTATTCTCAGCTTTCCTGGGTCACATTCACTGGTGTGTGGGTGTGTGTGTGTGTTTGGGGGTAGGTGTCAAAGATGACAATGAAAGTCCCTCTTCCCACCTGTCTTACTGACCAGCTTTACATCTGTGATTATGATGCCATGGCTCACTGCCTTGCACATGTCATAGACCGTCAGCGCTGCCACAGAAACAGCTGTCAAAGCCTCCATCTCCACTCCTGTCCTGTCCGTAGCGCAGCATGTTGCTGTGATGACTACAGCGTTCTGCAGCTCATCCAGAGCAAAGGTAACAGAGGTGTGGTCTAAGGGCAGCGTGTGGCAGAGCGGGATGAGGGTTGATGTCTGTTTGGAAGCCATAATGCCGGCCAACTGCGCCACAGCCAAGGCATCACCCTTAGACAGCTGGTTATCCCGAAGCAGATGGAAAGCAGTGGGACCCAGGATGACAGTGGCATGGGCTGTGGCTGTTCGACGTGTGGGCAGTTTCCCCCCAACATCCACCATGGTGGCTCGGCCCTGGGCGTCTGTATGTGTCAGCTGGGCTCCAGTGGTTTCGTCCAGGGAATTGTTGGACAGGTTTGTGCCCAACTTTGAACTCGCAGGGTCTTCATTGGAACTGTGGTTGTGGCATGGCCTCACACTGTGGTGTGGTGGACTTATTTTGGCATTCATTAGTATTGTGCATAAGACAGGTCTTCCTGAGGTCCTGAGTATGTGGGTCTTTAAAGTACTAGGACCTCTGGCTTGTGTGTACCTGACACAGTCTTCAATAGTGTTGTTCATGACATTTGTGTGTGTAGTAAAACTAGTAAACTTGGTGTGACAACTGCCAAACCCAGAGAAGTAAAGGGGTGCTACATTATGGAGGCTGCCCCTTACATGAGGCTTTTCTCTGTTGATATGTGACCTAACAGGGGAAGACCAGCTCATTAAGGTTTTAGAGCAGTAAATATGAGCTGCCTGTTTTGAAGTAGTGGCATCTGGAAGGCACAAAAACTCCTCTCTATTCAGAAGTCTCCTGCTGCCCGAAAGACATGTGTGAGGAGCTGCTGCTGCAGAGAGGAATGTGGAATTGTTTGTGAGCTGGGAAACCACGGGGAAAGTCCCCTGGATCTCTTGTGACTTTGGCAGTGACAAAGGCTGTTGGAAGGTGGTGCCTGCTGGAAAAAGAGAACGGTAGTCAAACACATGGACACAAGACAATAATAACATCACAAATACATCACGACTGTGCAGTGACGGAGAGAGATTTGTACGTACAGCCATGTCACCCACCAATTAGGATCATAGGCCTGTTCTTCATCTGGGAGATGCTGAACATGCCTGAAGAGACAGACAGGGGGAGTTGACCTGCCATCAAACTTCTCAGTAATCTGTGAGTATTCTCCACAAATGATGTGATGTACACAAGTCTACCTGCATGTTGTTTCTTCTTCCTGCCCACAGCTGCCCCAATGGTGTGCAGCAGCTCTGCATCTGATGCCCCAGAGCGTAACAGATCTCTGAGAGACACCTCGGAGTTACCAAACAAACACACCTGAAAGAAGGTAAGGCATTGAACACAGAATCACTGAGGCTCCAAACTGAGGGATTTTCTCAACCAAGGATGAGGTTATTTATCTCTAGATTTACATGTAAACCTAGACAGTGCACACACACAGAATGTGCACAACAGTACATTAACACAGATCACATTAACAGCTCCTTGAAATCCAGCAAAGCACAACTGTGGCTTTACCTTCAGGTTGCCATCTGCAGTGATGCGTAAGCGGTTGCAGGAGCCACAGAAATGGTCAGACATGGAAGTGATGAAGCCCATCTGACCTTGGAAGCCTGGCACTTTGAATGTCTGTTACAAAACAGAGAAGAGCATCAAACATTTGTCCATGTGGAAGATTTAAAAGTGGGTACAAGCATGCAAACCAATGATATATGAACATGATTTGGCTCATACCAGGCCATGTGGAGCATGTTTCACAAGACTGTGAATGCTGATTTCAGTTTTCTGTTGGCTAACCCATGAATCCATAATTCCACCTCTACAAATATGTGTTGCACATTCATTAATGTGCCAATGGAACTATCAAAACATTTCGAAGAGAAATTTTAAATAGCACACACCAGCCCAACATGAATACATTGCATTAATGAAAAGTTTTGTAAAATTTGTTTATATTTGCTAAATGCAATTAAGTTGGTCAGTGAAAACACTGAAAACTAGTGATGCACTGAAATGAAAATTCTGGGCCGAAACCGAAACCGAAAATTTAGGATGCATATATATATATATGATGGGTGGGGCGGGGCAGGGCATTTTTGGCGTGTTTTTTTTATTCCTTGCTTTTTGGCTGGAGAGACGGTTCCTCTTCTCATTAAGCACATGAGATGCTGCACTGAAGAGTCTCTCACCGCTGACATGCTTTGTCGTTGATGGGGAGACGCGTGATATAACAGCTCCAGCGTGAGTGAAACCTAACCTGTGCTGAGCGAGGATATGATGGGTGGGGCGGGGCAGGGCATTTTTGGCGTGTTTTTTTTATTCCGGCCCGAAATAAAAATGGCCTTTTCGGCCGAAAATGTTCGGTGGCCGAAATTTCGGTGCACCCCTATTGAAAACCTTTTCTTTTTGTCAGTTAAACAAAGGCTCAAGCAAATTAACTATTTAGTTTTTGTTGCATTTTAGAAAAGATCCCAACTTTTCTGGAAATGGGGTTTGCAGTACAATTGGAGTTACTGACCTTTGCGGTGTCTGTGTGCCCAGTCTGAAGCATTTCCAGGTTGGGCCACTGCTGCCTGATGTGGTCCAGCATCTCCTGGTAACTCACCATCTTCTTAAAGTTCCACTTGTTGCCTACAGAGCAAAGAGGCCGTTTGGGTCAGCGCAGGGTGTAGCATATCAATACCATTAAACTGACAAACTTTGTAAAAGCTTAGTCTACATAAAACCAAGCCGTTCCAAGGGGCTAAAACATTCTATGCCATTATAATACAATTTTACTGGTGATATGTGATGCCCATATAAGTTAACTGAAATCTGAATATGAAATATTCAACCGGACAGTGTACATTTGAAACCTGCTGCAGGAGCAATGGCCATTTTATAACAGAACTGCCACATTTAAATTCCTGTTCATGCCTAAGCTATGCATTTAAATCTGTCTCCCTGTGCAAGAAGACACCGTGGGAAGCGATCACTCACCATCAAAGGGCATGTATTCAATGAAGCGCACCTCCAGAGGCTTCTTCTCTGAGAGAGCCACAAAATCTAACAGCTCATCCTCATTGACGCCTCGCATGACCACACAGTTGACCTACAGAGGCACACAGCAGCAGGCACACGGATCACTATGCTGTACATTCATCTTCCCAGAAGGCTTTTATGTCTCAACTGTAATGACACCAAATTCAAAGCCATGTGCACACAGTAGCTGGACTATATAGCAGGGATTTTCAACCAGTGGTCCGCAGCCATTAGTAGCCACGAAGGCATTGCAGGTGGTCCCTGACTATCTATTCAACAATGTTTCACTGTAGGAATCGTTCCTTTTCTTTTAGATTTTGAACTAATTTCCATGTCTTACTTACTGCTTGTGAATTTATGCAAACATGTACATATATACATTTATGCAAATACAGTATACAACATTTAGAAAAGCCAAGGTAACTTTGAGGATTAAAAGAGTGCCCATACGGTCTATCCACCCCACAACAGTGGTCCTCAAGTCATTTCTTACTCAGAATGGTGGTACCCGGGTAACAATTAGTTGAAAACCCCTGCTTTATAGCAACTACACTGGCATCTGCAAAAATAAAATGCCTCACAAGAGATGCATGTATCAATATTTAATTGCCAAACCTTTGTTTGGTGCACTGCTAATGTGTTTTAATGTTTATAAGTTCGAGAAGAAGACCTTAGCAGGAAAGCTAATGTGGTTCATTGTTCAAAGTCTGCGGCTCTTGTGTTGTGTGACCAAGTGCTCTGTCGATGACCACAGAAATAGGAAAATTAAAAAAAAAAAGACAAATAAAGGAGAATCAATAACAAACAAAATGATCAGGAAAAAAATGTATACTCTAGGTGAGGTGAAAATATAGTAAACATTTCTAGGTAAATGCAAATTGGAAAAGAAAAGGTGAGCCTAATACCTTGACAGGGTTGAATCCCATGTCAAGGGCTTTATCAATGCCCTCCATGACCTTGTGGAACCCTGGGAAAAAAAAAGAAATTGATGACATTTAAACTTAAGATGATAACATTCTGCATTTAACATATTACTGCTGCCTTGGCATCTTTAAATTCAGTGTTATCTATTCCAATCTGAGGTGGAGATGGTGGGTGACTGATGGGATGTTTTAGGTAACACAGCACACTCCTGGGATCACTTTGAGACCCTGAATAACTCTCTGATCTTCTGCAAACCACTGATATGTAAACAAGGCTATGAGACAAGATTTCATTCAGGCTCTAATGTGTGCTAAGCCTTTGGGGAAAGAAAAAAAAATGAGGTTGCTTTGTGCCAGTACCGCCATCACTCTTTTGTCTTGCATTCATTTCCTAATCTCAGCTAGGCCATCTGTGTGTGCTTTCCACAAGCCAAGCACCCAGAGCTCTGGCCTGCTATCACCTCCAGCCCAGGTGCATTTATAGAAAACAGGCTCCTTCTGTAACCCAGTGGGACTGACCCACAACAGCCACAACAAATACACACAGTGTTGGTTTAGGTTTTGTAACAGAAGTAAAACAGCAGAGTCAAAGTAACACTATTACACTATTTTCTAGAACTAAAAGTCTTAGTGTAAAAAAAACTGCGGACAAAACCACACAAGCTGCGTGTGTCTGTGTGTGGTTGTTCGTCTATGTGTTAGCCCTGCGATGGATTGGCGACCTGTCCAGGGTGTACCCCGCCTTCGCCCGATTGCCGGCCAGGATTGGCTCTGGCCCCCCCCGTGACCCCGTTCAGGGACTAAGCGGTAGAAAATGAATGAATGAACCACAACAAGGACAATAGTAAAACACGATGCTGACCATCTGTGCATTACAGACCCTGTGAATCCATTTGTGTCCATAATTATACTGTCAAGAAGAGCATGAATGTGTTGACCACTGCATGAAAAACATATGTACATGGAGTAAAAACTGTTATAAATACTTTTAGAGATAACTCAGCAGCCTTACCACTCTAGGTGCTGAATCTTTCTCTTCATAGAGACCAGTGCACAGTATTTATCAATTTCAACTATTTTAATAAAGGTTCATACAAAATGGAATGTTTTGAACAGTACAAATGAAATTTAAAAGTTGAATCTATAGTAGATCAACCTCATCATCAGTGAGCCGTGGGCGTCCATGACCCTGTCTCCAGTCCACCATGTATCCTTCCTTAGACACTGTTGGTAGGTACTAACCACTACAGACCAACAACACCCACCAAGACCTGCAGACTGGGAGATGCTCTGACCCAGTCATCTCACCATCACAGGTTGGCCCTTGTCAAAGTCACTCAGATCCTTACACTTACCCATTTCTCCTGCTTTCAACACATCAACTTTGAGGACTGAATGTTCACTTGCTGTCTAATATAGCCCACACACTGACAGGTGCCACTGTAACAGATAGTCAGTGTTGTTCACTTCACCTGCCAGTGGTCATAATGTTGTGGCTGATCGGTGTACGCCACTGCTCCAGGTCTGAATTCTTAAGCTATATTATCCAACAATCTCTATTATCACAAGATTATCTTGTAGCAGAGAATCAAAATGTGTTTCTAAGCTTTTTTTACACCATTACATCTATTGTTATGTGGTATACTTCAATCAATTTCCTGTGTGTCATGAAGTCAACATTACCTTTGCGCCTGACAATAAACTCAAATTTAGCAGGCACCAGGGAATCCAGGCTGATGTTAATCAGGTCAAGGCCAGCATGTTTCAGCCTAGGGAGAAGTCTGGCCAGGTTCATGCCGTTGGTCGTTACTGCAATGGTTTTCAGGCCCTCCAACTTCCTCAGCTCTGCTGTAGAGGGAGCGCAGATGTTTGAACGAGAGAAAAACAGAGGGAGAGAAGGAGACATGAAGGAAGAGAAATGTGGAGTAAGCATAAGCATTTGTGTACAATATTCCCATGAAACCAGCTGCACCAGTTGTTAGCAAGTTCAGACTTAACCTAATAATAATACACAGTAAACAACAAAATTTATTCTCAACCTTTTGTAACTTAAGGCCCACTTTTAAAAAATTAAAAATTTGACAAGGACCACCTTGTCAAATAAATGAGAAAAAACATGTTTAGTGTATGAATTTAATGTATTCAGGGTCACGCCACATGCTTTGATGCCTTTACTGGTGCAAGGTTGTGTCGCACATCATTTTGTCATTTCAACAATCTATTTTGTTTCACTGCAGCCAAGAAAACGATGGCTAGCTAGCTAACAGCAGCAAAACACATCTGTCACTTCCTACTGATGTGTCATGAGTGGTGTTGTGATATTCAAATTTAAGTTACTTATGTGAATTCTTGAAAACATTCAGTAAATGTCTAGCTTTACACTATTACTACTACTAATACTACCAATAGCATCTGTAGTGTTCACATACTCATTTTGCACATGCATAATTGCACAGTCACTGCTGAGTATTTGCACTCCGTGGCTCCCACATAGCATATATTCTCTCTAAATTATATTGTGTTCTTGTTGTATTTTTATTTGCTCCCTTCACTTGCTGCTTTAAAGTGCCTTAGATTTGTGATTTTACTGCCTATTTAGATTTGTGTTATTGCTCATCTACTTTATATTTCACTTGTATTGTTGTGGCATTCTAAGAATTTTCATTGTGCAGGCTCTCCCCTTCAATTGTTCTCAACTTCATCTGTTTTCTTCTCTTCTCTTTCAAAGTTCATAAATGATGTACATATGAAATACGTAGAGAAACCTCTCAGTATTCAGGAACTGCACTTCTTTTTCTGACAAGATGTACATTTTTTGACAAAGATGGCCAAAACCACAGAGTGCTAAGTCTCCCATTCAGTCCCATTGTAAGAGGCACCGAGAAACTCTCATCCAGCTCTTTCTGACTGCACCACTACTTCCTGATACTACTAATACTTCTAACATTAGCAATGCGTAGACTGACCTTCTTGGTCAATCTATGGGCTTGGTCATCCTTATTTCCTTCCTCTCATCCTTATTTCCTTCCATACTTCTTGCCTTCTTTCCTTTATTCCTCCCATTCTTCTATCATCATTTGTTTCTCATCTATTTCCTCTGCCCTCCACACCTTTCTTTCATCCTTTTTATTCATTTCCTTTTGTATTCCTTTCTCCTTTTTTGCTATCCTTCTCCTCTCCTTTCTTGCTATCCTTCCTTGCTCCTTTGTTTCCTTTCTTTGCTTTCTCTTTCCTTCCCTTGTTTCTTATTTTTTCTTTCCTTCCGCTTTTCTCTCTCATTTCTGCTTTTGCCTTCTTTTCCTTTTGTAATTTGCTTTGTCAACTTTTTATTATTTGGCTCCACTTTTATATCTTTAAATGCAGTAGCATTTCAACATTTAGCAACTTCTAAGCATAACAGCTCTCTCAATGTAATTTCTTCAGAAATGACCTTATTTTGGTTTTATCTGACCAAAGAGTGTGCTACCAATATTCAAAAGGCATTGTTTCATGTTCTTTGGCAAAGTCTAATCTTGTAGTTCTGTGAGCAATGGTTTACTTCTTGAATGTGTTAACTTTATGCAGTGTCCTTTTCACTGTATCACCAGCCACAGAAACAGATTTCCACTGATAATTCTTGTGCCAAGTGAGAAGCAAGTACCCCAGCCACTGCATTCTGTTATCAGACGTGGTAAACGCTTTACTGTCCCAACGTTTCTGGAATGTGTTGCAGGCATCAAAATTGAAGTGTTTATTTTAAACCAAGAATAGAATTAATGGGGTATATTTCTACTTATGTTCAGTAGCTACTGATGCTCTTATATCCTCTTGTCTGATCTTATCAAGTCTTACAGTGTGCTTTTTTTTTTTAATACCTGTTCAGGTAATTCCTTACCATGTGAAGCCATGTTGCATTACACACAACCCAGGCCAAAAATGAGAAAGCTGGTGTGTTCACAAGTTCTTTTATAATACTGTCATGCAAAGAGACCTAGAATTACATGGAATCACTTGTCAGAGTGGTCACAGGTACCCTGACTTTTGTATTACAAGTAGTTTGCAGGGGTGTACTCAGGTTTGCTGTATATGAGCATGTGCTAAGTAGAGATTTATGCATCACTAATTTAAAATGGCTAAGAGTAGCTGTTAAATATTTAACCCAGGATGGCGTCATGCCAGATGTACCTGGTGCAATGGACAAAATGATGACCCATTTAGTTGAAAAGTATATTTGGTATAGAAAATATAGTTTACATACACTTGATCAAAAATGTTCATATTTATTTTTTAATCACAACTTTAATTTACAAAAGCTAACAAAACATAGGCCTACCCCAAATGGCAAAACATTATACTAATAATATCAAACGAAACAATTTGTCAGTTAGCTTTAAAAAATTGCAATTATATTGGCTGATTCCAATTTTATTTCTTTCTAAGAACTGTAATTGTCAGCATACACAGACAATTTTCTAACTTTCCTTTAATGAAAAATTAAACTGTAATACAAATAAAACATTGTATTAAGGTCCTTCTCACTCTTTTTACCCTCCAACTCAAAATGAAGTGCAACAGTTGTACTTCTCCAGATATAAACAGGTGCAACAGGTAAGAGAAACAGAAGAACGTCCGTCACTACTGAGCACACAGTTCTTTTCAAGTGTGTGTACTTTGTATCTCCTGTGTTTTACCTCGGGTTGGACACACTGTACATACACATGAATTTCACATGGAGTCATTAATTCCCTCACTGTGTACTATTTGTCAGGGTTCTGGAAGTAGTTTTCCCTTCTCCAGTGAGTTTCTGTAGGCTCCTCTGTGCGCTGTTTGAACATCTGGCGCTTTAAATGCACTACTGAACACGTGTCCAGTACAGACATGAGCGCAAGCCTCATGCGAGGTGCACGTGAGATGCTACATGCTGCACACATTAAGCTTTTTGGTCTGTGCCACTACACACGCAGCGTAGACTGTGGTGCCTCTAAATCTGATCAGCACAGAATCAGAAATCTCAGAGTGAATCTCAGGCTGGTCACAGATCAACGCTGAAAACCGGCCGTTTACGAACTTTACACACCAATCCAGGTGATGTAGTCAGGTGAGTACAACTGCATGAGGCAGCTAAGTATCTTTACCAAGGAAAGGAAAACAGTGAATGTACATTTTTGATAACATTCTACTAACGTCATGGATGCACCATGAAAAAAAATATACACTCTTCTCGTTTTCACCTCCTGTCAGACAACCAACAACAAAAAGCTCAAAAGTCTGGCTACTGTTCCCATTTAACATATAAATGATTCACTCTAGTAAACTTTAATGAGAGTCACGTTGCCCTGTCACATGACAAAATGGCAACTGTTGATTTTATGGGGCTGATGGCTGCCTGTGGTCCTCACTGGCCTTTTCAGTGCCAATTGCACTGCATATAAACAGTGAAAGCTGGTTGCATCAATGTTTGTAGTGGTACAAGAACGCAAGAATTTGTGTGACTTGGTCCTTCATGATTTAAAGGATAAGGCCAGTCATTTTCTATATCAATAATATTTTCAGCAATCACCATGAAGAGACTAAAACGGACATTGAATTGCCTCCACTTATGATTTTCTGTCGTTCTGTCAGCTTGCTCGTCTGTGATAGATCACCCCTGCACATGGTGATGGTTTTTATTACAAAACCCCAGACCCAACTATTTTGCACCAAAGGCTCCAAGTGGCCACAATGTCCTAAAATCGGTACAAGTCAGGGTCAAGTGAGCATGCACGAAATCTTGTGCAAGCTCTCTGCTTTGTTTAAAGTCCGCTAGCTCCTCACACTCAGGTCTGGGGTTTGCTAATGAAGAAATATATCCCGCAGTGCAGCATGTGCTTTTAATTTTTTAGAACAACAACGGAGGTCTATGGCACAGACAAACAAGCTGATCCAGGACTGACAGACATTAACCATGAGTAGAGGCAAGTCACTGTTGGCTTTAGTCTCTGTACGGAGATTGCTAAAAATACTGTTAATACAGAAAATGACCAGCTTTATCCTTTAAAATAATAAAATGCAATATCAAGTAGTAGTGCACACACCCATGTTTCTACATAAGTTATGGTGAACTAATGAGACAGGCTGGCAGCCACCAGAATCACAATGATGTCATGCCTTAATACACCTTAGTAATAGCTGAAATAACCAGCCCCCATCACACTGATGCTTTTCTTACCAATAATATCCAGCACATCAGGTCTGATAAGGGGTTCTCCTCCAGTGAGGCGGATTTTGTCCACCCCCTCCCGGACGAAGAGGCGAGCCAGGGTCATTATCTCTGAGATGGACAGGAGCTGGCCCCGTGGTGTAAGCTTTACCCCCTCCTCTGGCATGCAGTACTGACCTGAAAATGGGAAGAGGAGTAAATTGCCACTCAACGGATGCCTTTACCCTACATTAGCAAGGGTTTATGTTTTTGTTTGACAAGCAAAAGTCAATGATGATCATCCAATTCAACATAAACCTTTTTCAGATAGGAAGCATTTACACTGTCACACACAAAAAAGCTGGAGAAACACATTTCCTACATTGCAGTAGGTGTTTTGTTTAAAACTTTCACACATTCACACTTACTGTTGTGTGTGTGTGTGTCTTTATTAATCTAGAATACATACCCACAGCTTGTTTCTGATGGGAGCGTTTATCTGTGTATTTTTCTTGGCTGCTACAGATCAAGGTCAGTTGTCATCGAAAGCGTTTTGTCACTGGCCCCTCTCACACAACACATAAAACTCCCAATTTTTCAATTGTGTCAGTCCACACCAACTCAGAGACCTGCGTTTTCTTCCCTTCTGGTGTGTTTAATAAAGGGTAATCCCCACAGAGTGTTTGTCCGGTCACTGACCTGCTGACAGACAGACAGCTGTCCTGACGACATTGATGCTGCACAGAGGTCGGAGTCGGTGTGGACTGAACAGATCTAATGTTTCAGTAGCTTATGTGCTGTACGTATGCGGTGGACTATCAAAATCAAAGTTTAAGTTTTGCATCGATGTCATCAGACTACAAGGTGGCGAGGTATAAGGTCAGGTTTATCTGACCTGCACTCATTCAACCCAACACGAGTGGGTGGAGCAATTCAACCCATTTTTGTGGAAATTTCTCTTTTCTCTCATTGCAGACAAAAATTTTAATCATTGAGAAATGTTTTTATCAACCACATGCTAACAGTGTTGTTTTCAACCAATTATTACAGTACTTCATCACATAAAACCTGAACCAGTAGAACACGTAGTTTGTACAAAGTTTGATATAAGATATCATTTCATTTATATGCAAAGAAACTTAACAAGACTCAAGCAAACAAGAATGAACTAAAAGAACGCAGAAGACAGGCAGAGGACCAACTGTAGACTAACACTGGGGAGAATTTAGAGAATGGGTGAAAAACAACATATGGCCAACACATGCTGGAGACCACGTACAGCACAGTGGAGTCGATCAAATGAGACGACACCACTCAAGCAGATAACTGCTTTTTTTGTCTCCTGTACTGGACACTCCGGTTATGATGAGTTCGCATTTCACATAGTAAGTTTGAGTCAATTTACTATTGTTTGTGTCTAACACTTTCTTTTGCATCTGTGTCTTCTCTTGTACTTAGATTGCTCAGGATTTTTCAATATTACATTCGAATTCTTCTGGGACACTAACTGAAAACTGGAGCCCTGTGTTCTCAGCGAAGATAATTCGCATGGCCAAGAAGAAGAAGAAGAAGACGGCTGACCTTCTCACCAACATAGATTTGCATCCAGCAGGTATTTGCATTTTAAAAATTGGTTCTTGATTCTCAACAATACTGGGATGTGTACCTGCATTTGTCGGACCTATGTAGCGCTTAGCCTCTTCATGGAAAAAGCCTAAGCTGACAATATCACTTACAAAACTCACTGATGCTTGAAACCATTTATTCCTATTCCTGTTTTAGATCATATCTTGATTATTACCTGACTGTTATCTTGTTTTATTGTTCAGTTCAGTGAACTGTGGTAACATTGTTGAATACTGTATCTGTGTATGCTACTTTGTAAACTTGTGTGTCACCGTCTAGTCAGGGCCCCCTTGAGAAGCAGGTTTTAAACCTCTATGAGACTTTACCCTGGTAAAATAAAGGTTAAAATGTTTTTTTAAGTTCTGCTGCTTCCTCCTTCTTTAGTAACAAAGTGTTATTGTCTTGGGACCAACTGTTCTTCAGTACGATGACAACAAATTGTTCAAGCATCTTTGAATCCTATCTGTCCTACAGTGAACCCTGACCTTACCAAGAGGGGGAAAGTGTTTCCAGGAAGATCAGTGAAATCAAACATTATCAGAGTGGTAAAGCTGGTGAGTGTAGTAGCAACAGCAGCACAGTCGTCACTATTGAATGTGGTTTCTTCAAGTACCTGCATAAACTAAAGCAGCTAACAACACCTTTAATATGTCACATTGGGATCACGAACTCACAGCGCAGGTTGCATTTCTCGGTCAGGGAGATGCGCAGGTAGCTGTGCCTCCGGCCAAAGCTGTCGGTCAACAACGGCGAAAAGGGTAGTGTGATGTTGTCTTGAAACGTCTCCTTGGGATGAAGCCATTAGGAAAAAGGCAATGTGGAACTGATCTGACACAGAAACGGCTGATAACGAGCGTACAGTAGGACTGCTAAGTCTTGTTTGGATAATCATTTTTCATCAAACGCAAGATTTTTCCTCTTAAAATATTGGTGTGTTTATTTTATCATATCCTGGTGCCTCAGCCTGTGGATATGGCCTGGCATATTCTGGGTAAAACACAGAGATAAGTATGTGATAACCCTGAATTAGCTACAGTTAAATAAAGGATTATCAGATTAAAGATCTCCCTAAGCCAGCCACAGTGTGGGAGTTGCACATGGCTTTGCAAATGGCTCATGACCTTTGACTGTGATCAGTGGCTGATGTTAGGTCAGAGGTCATGAGCACCATGGCAAACATGTGACTCATTAAAGCTAGTCAAAGAAAGAAATCAACATCTAATATCTGCTCCTCTGGTTTGATCTCAGGAATCTTTCCATCTCCAAAATATTGACTTAGATATTGATTCAGGACTGAGCCAGTGACAGCTGTGAAATTGAAAGTAATTAGGCTTGTAAATAAAGCTGCCATTGTTGACATGAGATACTATTTGCTGCAATAGATTTGCTCTATATGCACTTTGCTTGCGTCGTCCTACAAACCCCCTATACATCACTGACAGAGCTTACCCTTTACTGGGCCGTAAACTGGACAGAGCTTACCCTTTACTGGGCCGTAAACTGGGCAGAGCTAACGCCACGTTACAAAGTGACATAACTTGTCATCTAACGTGCCTTTCTTCAGTAACTGACCTCAGTCCAGTAACTAGCCTGTGATGAGACATCTAACCTCAGCACCAAGTAGAACCTGGAGTCAGTACCTGTCTTGACCCGCTTTTCTGAGATGCGGTGAAGTTAGGAGCGGTCGAGTCTCCAAGTTCAACTTCGTTTTCCCTGCGCGTTGCCCTGGAACACATCCACTGAATACTCGCGTTCACACACTGCACGAAGACTTTCCTGACATTATTCAAATTACTAGGCCCAACAAACAAGCGGCAGCTCATGATAGCCTGAGTAGCCATAGTGGGGGTTTTGGACAGCTCAGATATCTTGTCTCTTGGTTTTAGCGTGAGCCACTCTGCAGTAAAATATGTCACTTAACACGAGAACAACACAGGGAGGGCAGTGAACTGGGTTGCGCAAGTGCTGTTGTATGCTGGGTAGTGTAGTCCGGAGGATAGACGCTGGATGTACAGTTGTTTAAACCTAATTTTAAACACTGAAACAGAATAAGACTGTTAATGTGTGACTCCCTAATTGTTTTTATTTTATTTGTGCTAAAATTTCACATAGCCTTTATGTTTTTTGAGTAAAACTGCTTTTAAATAATTCACAGATTCACAATCTGTGACCATCCATGCCTCTGGAGCCTAGACCTTGTATGGACCTTGCACCCATACAGTTGTGTTTTTCACCTTGTCCAATTTGCACACAAGTGTGATGATATGATCTTGATGTCATCTTAATGTTTCCAGTGAATTAAAAACAAATTACAGTAAGCCTTGTGCTGATAATCTTATGTCAAACTCTGAACCTCTAAGCTGGTTTAAAATTACTTGGTGAACACTGTGATCAAACATACAACAAATATATTTGATTTGGACAGTTTTAAAACATTTTTGAGACATGCTAACTGACACAAGTATGAAGTCACATTTGAAAAAACAAAGACAAGTGAGGAATTCAATTGTAGTGAAACAATCCAACACATTTTAGTGAGGAATAGAGGAAAATGGACTGTGTACTTCATCTCCTAACCTGCCTGCCACAGGACATCCCTGCCTACACTGCTTTTCACAGATGACATACAAAATACTATAGTGTATACAAAATATTATGATGCTGGCTGTGTCTTTTTTCCAGCAACCCTATTCTCCATTCTATTCTAAATGTAGGTTATAATAAAATAACAAAAATCAGATTTAGAATAACACTGAAGCTTTAAGACCAGAAACAGGACTGGGGCGTCCCTAGTTCTGGCTGAGCCCTGCAGTGAGGTAAACGAGTAGAGCAGCATGGATGAACATGTACAGTCCTTTGGTGGATACTACCTGCAATGTGTGAGGTGTCCACTAGATGGCGGTGTAATCTTGCATTTGAAAAATGCCCAGGACGGCTCACCAGATAAATAGAAAAGAAAAATGTGTTTTTGAGTATTCTTTCGGAAGCGCTCTCAGTAAAATCAACTTAACTCAGACACGGGATGACAGTAAATGACAGACTGTTGCCTTGTAGAATAACCATTAAGCAGAAGAGGGTGTCAAGGTGAATGTTCTCTCTGTAAAATGCATATGGCATATGGCAAATGCAACTGCAACGATGTTATTTTTCACAATGCTATCACTATCATCCTATCCACCTACAGTCAAGTCCATATTTATTAAAAAATAGCAAGTCTCTCCCAAAGCTATAAATAGGAGAGCTGTTTGTTTCCTGATGAGTGGTTTTGGATTCTAATCAGCACACCTCGTTTAGACTTAAGAGCCATTTATCTCTAGTGTTTGGCTGTGGCTTGTGTGTGTGAATGGGAAATACTGTGAAGCGCTCTGTGTGTGCTTCATTGCGTAGAAAGGTGCTATATAAGACCATTTATAGTTGCATTAGCTGTGCTAAGTTCAGCCCTGTCAGTAAATTTCTGTATTTTTACAAAACATACCTTTTGTAAGTCAATCGTAGTTACATTTGAACCAGTTAAGTGTGAACACCATATGTTCCTCACCCTGGGCTCCTAAAACCCAGTTACATAGAGTATTATATCTATGTAATACTGGGTCAGTGGACAAGAGGCCCAGGTGGCAGAAGGCTCTCACAGGTCAGTACACTCCACCAGCCTGCACAGTGATCCAATATGTAATTCCCTGCTTTACAGTTTCTTATATTTAACCTTAAATTGACTAACACTGAAAATTCCACCACCCTTTCATGAGTCCTGGGTCCCCCTTCTACATGTTTACTTTTACTCAGCTACATTTCAGAGGGAATACCTTTTCTTCCGCTACATTTACTACATTTACACCTAACATTTACTAGCTACAGTACATTTAATAACTTTTTATCACAACCTCCCCTATATACAGCTCTAACAGTAGGCGGTCGGAGTCATTGTTTTGTCCATCTATTACTGTAATCCATTTATTATTATATTATATTATATATATTGTATATAATCTAGGTATTATAATGATAATTTAATCATAGTTTATTGTGTATATTTATGTTATAAAACAAAATCATGTCTTTACCTGTTAATACATAGATTTTAGCATACAGGCACTTTTTTTGTATTTTTTTTCAGGCATTTTGCCTTTATTATTACTATTCTATGAGGAAAGAGAGGTGGACAGGAAAGAGGAGAGACAGAGGGGTGGACCTGCATCATGGGTTGTTGGCCGAACCCAAACCGCTGACATCGTGCACACATTGTGCTTGCGAATGCAATGCACTGCGCCATAATTGTTTGGGGGAACCCTGGCACTTTTTTTAAAACATTGTTTAACAAAGCAGTTTGTAACACTTAAGCACTGTTAGATTAAAGGTGCAGCACACTGAGTTAATTTCCATTTTCTCAATATGTTTATCTCACTGGCAGTGTTATTTACATGTAGGCTTGGCTTTTTTTATTTATCATTGTCAGGTATGATTATTGTATAAGTGTTTATAGTACATATTGAATACCATGAGAGCCTTTGTACAACTCACCTGTGTGGAAAACGTGGAACTGGCAGTATTATATGCATGAAAGCTTGTCATTGTCCAAATAAATGGAGATCGACTCCAGTAATATCCTTGTGTCTTCATTAGGCTACTAACTAACACAAGAAACCCACTGGTTTCAAATATTTTACAGGGAAGCTAAGATATAGTCATTCATTACTAAGAAAATCCTTTTACAATATCTGTAGCTTGTTATTTCATGGGCAAACATTGGTTTTCATCTTCAACACTGCTCTATGACAAAATGCAGTGTGCTACATTTGATGTCCTTTAACAAGGTGTACAGGTTATTGATCATAAAGGTTATTAGTTATTGATTTTGTTTTCATGCTCCATTGCTTTGCACAGCACAGTGCCAAAGCCTGCTCTATCAGTGATGGCTTATGCAAGTTTCTGTTGCCTTTCACCACTCTCCTTTTAGCACCTGAAATGCATCCAGCTTCGTGGCCACTTCACTTGGATAGAAGAGCATGAAATCGCAGCTTGCCAAGAATCCTGTGAAGCATGCTGATTTCTTCAGTCAAAATTTACCTTGCTGTTTTTGTATGTTTTTCACAGCTCCGTCTCCTCGAAACTGGGCGCTTCTTCAAGCTTCGACTGATGTCTTTTTTGTCTCTGTGTTTTTAGGAGTTGTCAGTCATGCAGCAGTGTTGGAGGCAGCTGATGTTCATGAGTTCATGCAGAATCACACCAAGCCTTAGAAATCACATTTTAATGCAGGTTTTACACACTGCATTTATAAGGTATGGATAGGTTTTCTACAAAGTCCCGTGACAACTGCATCACTGTGTATATTACAGTCAATATAGACTAAAAGACTACAGGTGAATGCTTGAGGCTTAAGTTAGAGGCATTTTCTCAAATTATTGGCTTCATTTTACATTATGCCAACATCACAAAAAAGCTGTGAAATGCCTCTATTTAAGATGCAAAGCGGTCTGTGATCTGAATGCAATCATACCCAGCCTGGATTTGAATATTGTTAAACGTTGCTGTGGTTTTTCAAGGTGTGATGAGCACATTAGCACAAATGAAATGAAGTGTCAACCACAGCTGGAATCAAAGAGCTTCCAAGGAAGACATCACTCCTTCCCTTGACCAACAAAATTTTAACTACCACCTGTACTCTTTAATGTTCCTTTTACAATTATTTTGGCTGCCAACCAGCAGCTTACACTTCCCTGTAGAATTATGCCAACAGGCAAAAAGTGTTGGGTAGTCTGTAAGCCTCTTCGTCCCTTTGAATGGTTGGAATGACTGGTAATTATCCTGTCATGACACAGCAATTAAGGTATTTAGAGCCATCGCCGATTGTGAAAGAGATTCCTCAAATGATAGGCTCACTTCCCACTCTAGTCCAGCAGTATTCTCTCCTATTCTGTGTGGGTGTGATTTACTATTGAAATAGAGGGAACATGAATTTGCATATGGCTAATACCAAGCAGTGTCACACTATAACATCTACTCTCTGGAGCTGTTGTTCTGAGCACTGTGTAATGGAAGAATTAAATATGTTCATATCATCCTTCAATTTAATGGTCAACTGAAAGAAAGACTACTTTTAATATCCTTTGTTCTTGAAATGTATAATTTGCACATATCTTCTTGAAAGAAAGTTGTACGTTGGGGGTGTGTGGGGCTTTTAAAACCTGCATTAACTGATTTATTAGCCACATGGGGGCAAAGCTGTTAACACTCTCTTGATATGTCATCACCTTATAATGTTAATAGAGCAAACATATTACCAAACTCTGGTTTATATACATGCACAGTAGACAAGGATCATTTGAAGTTGTGTCTGACAAATCATCTATCAGTAATATCAGATAATATCTAGCTTTTTAGCTGCTAAATGCTCCACTCTGATCACCGGCTTCCTCTAGCTGCCATCTGGTGCTGGGCAGTAGACTACAGTGAGATTTTAAAGCCTTTTCACCAGTAACACCTGCCTACTGCAGCTGAAAACAACACAGAAGACAGCAGTGAGTGTGAAATAGAACATTATAGTTGCGATCTTTAAAACCAAAACAATGAACTGAAAGATTCTAAAACCCTACCTAGCATTTCAGAGTCAGGTAGCCTTTCTTTGAAGGTTTATCACTAAACAAACAGCCATGGTCTGGGCTGCATGAAGCAACCCCTTTCTTATTACAACCCTGGCCATAGCCATGGTCAGAAGCATTATGTTTTCAGGTTATCTCATTCTTGTGAGCACGATATCTCAAGAATGCCTTGAGGAAATTTCTTCAAACTTGGCAACAATGTCCACTTTACCTCAAGGATGAACTTATTCAATTTTGGCAATCAAAGGTCACTGTATCCTCACATCTGTCCCATTCCATGAATGTGACTGGTTGGCAGAGGCACATACAACCACAAGGCGGTAAGTCTAGTCCTTGTTATAGATTAAACTCAATTTTGTGATTTATTTTTAAAA